TCCCCAAAGTGGCCCTGGCTTGGGGCCCTGGGCTGAGAGGTCTGTGTCCCTGGGAATAAAGAAGAGGACTAATAATAGCTACCACTCACCCAGAACTTCTCTGTCTTGCACATCTCAAGAGTACCTTATATCTCTGAGTTTATTTAAACTTAATGAGAAGCCCTTCACTTCTTAGAAGCAACTGGCACCTGTGATGTCAGTATCTCTAACTCAGGCATACACAGTGAAGGGCTTGGAAGAAGGTAGGAAAAGGCCAATGCCAGGGGAGCCAATGAGGTTCTTCAGGACTTGAGATCTAGGAGTAGAGAGAGGATTACATAACTGCAAGTAGATAACCAGAGGCCCACATAGGTCCTGCTACTTTGTTGTCAGACCTTTTGCACTCTGCTGACTTCTCTCACAAGTCTCACTCTCAGACCTCTTCCTGGCCCTTTCAAACTGATCCTCTACACACCACCCTCTGCCTCAATGTTACCTTTTCCTTCTTAACCATCCCCAGGTTCCCCCTAGCCTTTTCCCTCCGCCACTCATCCCACCCCCTTTTCTCTCTCTCTCCAGGTCTCACTGTTTTGCCCTTATCTGAAGGAATCCATCCCCCTATAAAGATGTCCCTGTGCAGCCCTCTTCTCCCTTTGTACCCAGCCTCTCCCTCTCTTCTTCTCAGCCCCTCTTTCCCCACTGTCACTTCTACCTCTTCTTCTCCTTCCCAACTGGATTCTTTTTATTCCAGCCTTTATCAAAGGAAGGAAGGATACATCCAATAATCCCAAGATATCTCCATGTGAGGCTTGCCATGTGAGAGCAGTCTCTGGTTAGCTTATGTTCACTCTTCTGTTCCCCCTTGTTCTGAGGTGAATATGGACTGAAGTGTCTGGGAGAGAGTATGGGGATAGGAGAAGAACCACTTGCCATAGGGGCGTGTCCACCCAACAGGGAGGACAGGACACAGGCCCAGGGCAAGGAGGGTAGGGTGGAAAAGATAGAGATGAGGGCTTGTTCTAGAGTGGCAAAGCTGGAAAGGATGGTATTATTCTAGGTGTGAGAATCAGGATCCAAAATGCTTTTGAAAAGCAAGTATAATGAGCCAATATCCAACAAGTTGACATTTAAAAGGAGTAAATATAAAAGTCTACATTTAGACATTAAAAAAATCACTTATGTAAGCACAGCATGGAATAGCTCTGGTGAAAAAGAACTGGAGGTTTTAGTTGGCCACAAGCTTAATGTAATAGAATAGGATACAGCTTCCAAAATGTTTCTGTAATGTAATCTTGGGCTCTATTAGTTAAAGCATCATGGCCAGAAAAGAGAGGTGGTATGCCCTCGCTTATGCAACAATTGGGCCTTGATTAAAGTACTTAACACAAAGTTTTTAAAGGATTGTCCTTGGCCATTGTGGTTAATAGTGAAGAAAGTAGAATTTTGGAAAGCCAGGTCACATGAGGAATGGTGGAAGGTGACAGGGATGTTCACCCTGAAGAAGAGAAGACATGTTGGAACTTGAGAATCCTGTTTTCAGATATTGAAAGGGTGCCTTATGGCATGGGAATGAAACATAAAGGTGGAAATCCCAGGAGGCAGATTTAGCTCTGTATAAAGAACAACTCAACTATCTGAGCCATCATGCAAAGGAGTGGGCACTTTGTGAGGTGGTGAGCTCTCAACTTTGGGAGCCAATCAAGTACAAACCAGATGCCCACAATTGGGAATGCTACAGTGGGAGAGGGGGGCTGTATGAAGAGGGATGTTGGATTAGGTAATCCCCAAATTAAATATTAACATTAAACTTCTCTGCTTGGTAACTCCAGTGGAGAGGCAGGGAGAGAGCAGGTTGGTGATGAAAAACAGTTGGACAAATGAAGAGATTGAGAGCTGAGCATGTACAAGAGTTGGAAAGGGAAAGAAAGTTGGCTGGACCAAAAGGGGGTGGGACACTTGGGAAGGACTATAAGGAATAGTGCTGGGATAGGGTGGCAGAGTGAAAGGCAGGAGAGGGAAACTTAGTGCTGGGATCCACCTGACCCTTGCCCCTTCCCCCAGGAATGACATGCCAAGCTCGGAGCTCCTACCTGGTGGATGAGGTGCTGTGGGGCCACCGCTTCACATCAGTGCTGACTCTGGAAGACGGCTTCTACGAGGTGGACTATGCCAGCTTCCACCAGACTTTTGAGGTGCCCACACCCTCGTGCAGCGCCCGAGAGCTGGCTGAGGCAGCAGCCCGCCTTGATGCCCATCTCTACTGGTCTATTCCCAGCCAGCTGGATGAGAAGGTGGAGGAGGAGGGGGCAGGGCAAAGGGCAGGGGAAGAGGTTGGGGCTGACAAGGAGCAGAATGGCTGCCTGCCACCCCCAGAGAGTGAGTCTAAGGTGTGACCAGTTTCTTCTAGACTCCTCTGGCAGGACCAGACACAGGTACCTAGAGAGCTGGATATTTGAGGTGGAGAAGGAGGTAGGTGAGGTCTCTGGGAATGTGCTAAGGCTGGAGAGTCCCCGCAGAATCTCGAGTTCAGGATCCAATGTGGAAGGGAGGGGTCCTGATTTCAGGAGAATGGAGGGTGGGGATAAGTGAACTTATCAGCCAGTCTGTGTTTGGCCACATCTGTTCCTGGGTGGATGGATAGACAGAAGGGTGGACTTATGTAGATTGGATGGGTAGATGGAAGCAGATGAGAGCTGGTAGATAGGTAAGTGGGCCAACAGACAGGTGGTGCACTCAGGGCTGCTGCTAACCCATTGGGCATCTTTGTGCAAATTCTAAAAAGGCACCTTTTTCTTCCAGACTGACACCACCCCAAACCAGGGTAAGTGGCTTGGGGAGCAGAGTATGGGCTGGATTCTAATCCCCACTCACCTCAGCCAACCTCCCTCTGTATGGCACACCTGTCTCACACAGTAGCCCCAGCTGACCCAGAGAGAAAGCTGGATGGAAGTGGACAGAGATGAGGAGGTGCCTTCCCAGCTCCACTCCCACCATTATGACAGGCTGGGCGAGCAGATAAAAGGCTGTAGGCATAGCTCAGGAGGGTGTAAATGACCTTGTCTACTGAGTAGGGAAAACAGGAAGTGGGGAGCTGCCAGAGTTGGGGCTCTGGTGAAGGAGACCTCTTTTCTGACAGTGTAGTAAGATTTCTTAAGTACCTCTGCAGATGTAGGAGGGGAGAGGTTCTGAGGAGGAAGGCCAGGGAGAGATGGAATGGGAAGTCACTAGAGCTGGGACACAGGGGCCCTTGGGAAAGCAGAATTAGACTTGGGGTACAGTGAGAGGGGGTCATTCATTGGGTGTTGTGTATAGAACACTGAACCAGGCACATGGGAAATGAACAGTCAGCGACCCACTTTCTATTGGAAATATAATGTACATGGGAAAAATAGAAATATGCCTATGGCAACTGTTTCAAACTGAGAACCTGAGCAGTGTCTCTGAGCAGGGGTAGAAAGGATTGATAATCAAAAGCTAGGGACTGTGTAAGGCACAGAGAATGAACTAAACCAGCTGCTATAACATTTGAGAGTAGTGCATCAGGGGTCAACTGGAGGGCTTGTAGAAATAGACTCTGGCTTCACTCCCAGTTTCTGACCCAATAGGTCTGAGGTGTAGACCAAACATTTGCATTTCTAATGAGCTCCCAGGTCATGCTGACTCTGCTGGAATGGGGATTACAGACAGGAGAACCTCGGCTGTAATGGAAGACCTGGAGGTCATATTAGGAGGTGGAGCTTACAAGATGAATCGTAGTTGAGAAGCTGAGGTACCTTGGGATGTAGACTGAAATATAAAGGGTGGAGTCCTGTGCATGATGAAAAGAGACCCTGAAAGCCAGGCTGATGCCCAGGAACTCAACCATCAGTGGAAATAGGGAAGTGACAACTAGAGATAGTTTGGGGGAAGTTCAGATACGAGGAGGCAGTCAGGAGGCCTTGAGGGGATTCCTGGGGAGGTGGTAGGGATCTGCAGCAGGAAATGGCAAAGGAAAGAATCCCATGTAGGTTCTTAGTTTCACAGTAGCATCTTTGCTGCATTTTTTGCCACATAACAAATGGGCTATAAGGCAATTTTGCCATTAAAAAGAACATTTAAAAGGACATAAAGATTAAAGGCTTTATTGTGAAATAGAGTATTCAAATACATTTTTTAAGCTCATATTTTTAAAATTTTTATTTATTTATCTTTAGAAGGGAAGGGAAGGAGAGGAGAGAAATATCAGTGTATGGTTGCATCTGGTGCATCCCCTGCTGGGAACTGGCCTGCAACCCAGGCATGTGCCCTGACAGGGAATTGAACCTCCATGTTTTGGTTCACAGGCCCATGTTCAATCCACTGAGCTATACCAGCCAGGGCTCAAATACATTTTTAAAAAATATTTATTTATTTATCTTTAGAGGAGAAAGAGAGGGAGAGAAACATCAATATATGGTTGCCTCTAATGCGTCCCCTGCTGGGAGCTGGCCTGCAGGGAACTTGCTTGCAACCCAGGCATGTGCCCTGACTGGGAATTGAACCACGATCCTCTGGTTCGCAGGCCGATCCTCTGGTTCACAGGCCAGTGCTCAATCCACTGAGCTACACCAGCCGGGGCTGTCAAATTAATTTTAAATGTGTGTAGACTCATAGCAATACTGCACAAGTCTCTGATTTCACTTTGTGGTTGCACCTAAGTACTTATCTTAGTTCTATGAGAAATGTGAGTTTAACTCTGCACTTCAAAGACAGACCTCAGTCTCTCTTTCTCCCCCATGTAATGTCTTTCATAACCAACTCTTGGGGAAAATCATCATCTAGAAGAAATGCTAACTATTTTAAGAGTAGCACCACATCTACTTTCTGCTGTATAGACCATTATGAAGACTAAGATGTATATATAATGTAAAAATGGGAATACTGCAAGAACTTTTTTAAAAATTATTTATCTTTATTATGCCATTACAGTTGTTCTATTCCCCCCTTCATTCCCCTCCACCCTACCCCCCATCCCCACCATTACCCCCCCCTTTAGTTTATGACCATGTCTCAAGTTCTTTAGATTCTGTATTTCCCATACTATTCTTGCCCCATCTGTCTGTCTATGCTACTTATTTTCTGTACCTTCTCCCCCTCCTACTCCCCTGTTGCTAACCCTCCTTGAGATCTTCATTTCTATGTTTCCACTCCTGATTTAGCTGTCCTTTTAGTTTGCTTTTGTTTTAGGTGTGGTTGTTAATAACTGTGAGTTTGCTGTCCTTTCACTGTTCATCTTTTTTTAACTTCTTTTTCTTAGATAAGTCCCTTTAGCATTTCATATAATAAGGGCTTGGTGATGATGAACTCCTTGAATTTGATCTTATCTGAGAAGCACTTTATCTGCCCTTCCATTCTAAATGAAAGTTTTGCTGGATAGAGCAATCTTGGTTGTAGGTCTTCAGATTTCATGACTTGGAATACCTCTTTCCAGCCCCTTCTTGCCTGTAAGGTCTCTTTTGAGAAATCTGCTGACAATCTGATGGGGACTCCTTTGTAGGTGACTGTCCCCTTAGCTCTTGCTGCTTCTAGGATTCTCTCCTTCATTTTAATCTTGGTTAATGTAATTACGATGTGCCTTGGTGTGTTCCTTCTTGGGTCCAACTTCTTTGGGACTCTGAGCTTCCTGGATTTCCTGGAAGTCTATTGCCTTTGCCAGATTGGGGAAGTTCTGCTTTATTATTTGTTCAAATAAGTTTTCCACTGGTGGCTGTGCCTTTCCCCCTTCTGGTACCCCTATAATTCAGATGTTGGAACGTTTAAAGATGTCCTGGAGTTTCCTAAGACTCTCCTCATTTTTTTGAATTCTTGCTTCTTCACTCTTTTCTGTTTGGCCATTATTTGCTTTCTTCTGGTCCACTCCATTGATTTGAGACCCAGTTTCCTTTTCATCGCTATTGATTTCCTGTGCAATTCCATTCATTTCAATTAGTTTCGCCTTCATATGTATATCTAATTTGTGGCTATAATCAACCAGTTCTGTGAGGATCCTGATCACCAGTATTTTAAACTGTGCATCTGAGAGTTTTGCTATTTCTTCATCGCTTATATTTATAGACTCTGGGGCTTTGAGATCTTCTTGAGCTATTTTTGTTCTGTTCACGCCCATTAAGTACGAGGAGGGGAGCCTTGGACTCCCAGGTCGCTGGGTTGTGATGCTGCATGTTGGGGCATGGTCAGAGCAGGGAAATGGCGGCCCCCTCTGCTGTTTCTTGCCGCTGGGTGAGGAGCAGAGCCTCAGGTGGTTCACCAGGGCAGGGCCACTTAGGTCGCTGGGTTATGACGCTGTATGTGGAGGTGGGGTCAGAGTGGGGAAATGGCTGTGCCCTCTGCTGCCACTCACCACTGGGGCCTGCTGGGTCCCATCCAATCGCCCACTCCTTCGCTTGTCTATCCACGCACGGATTCGAGACCACAGTCAACCCGCAGCCCTGCTCCCTTGCTGTTTCTCTGTGGTCACTCGCTGAGTTGCCCACCAGGTCCAACCCTGTGCCTGGATTCTGCGCGCCTGAGTCCATCTAATGGAGTTTTCCTGTGCAACCCCGCTCCTCCAGCTGCTGGTTTCGCCCCTCTTACCGGTCAGGCTGAAGAATTTGTTGTTATCAGACTTCCGAAAAGTTCAATTTTCTGTGTTCTGGCTGTGTTTTCTGTTGCTAATATTTAGTTGTCTCTAAACTTGGTTGTGTGAGGAAGCACAGCGTCTCCACCTATACCTCCATCTTGGCGGAAGTCTTGCAAGAACTTTTATGAATGGAGAAATGAAACCAAAATGACTAGATTAACTACATTAAATCTGCTGAAGGTGATTGATTTGTCAATGGAGAAATGAAACCAAACACAATACTTCCCCTCCCCAAAAACTGTCAGTCAGTTATTTTATCTCTCCCACAGCAAAACTGCCTTATGGTCAGTTATTATGCATTGAAAATGTTTGGGGCAAAAATGCTTGCAGCAAAGATGCTACAATGAACATACTAGAGGCACCCTTGTAGCACTTCAGAGGTAGGATCAAATGTGGTAGAGAATGTGAGGGAGGCAAGGCATCCAATATCTGGCTGTATCTGTGGCCTATGGTCTGCCCAGCTAGGAGGACAGAAGCCCCTGCAGATGCTATTTGCATCCCACATCTACCCCCTTCCTGTGTCATCCCAGTCACCAAGGGCAGCCAACCAGGATGGTGAGCGGAGAGCAACGGCAAGTTAAGAAGTAGAGTTAAAGGGGACCTGAAGCTGGTCTCCTGGGAGAAAAGTGTGTGCCCAAGCAGGCATACCCTCTTGACACTTGCTAAACCCCATTCCTGTCCTTTAATAAAAGTCTGGGCCCCTTGAGAGAGAACACCCCACTCTGCTCCATTCCAGGCTGGGAAGCTGAGGTCCAGTGGGATCTGTACCTCCTGAAAGGAGAAAAGGGGATTCCAGAGGGAGCCCATGCCAGTTTGGGTTCATGCAGAGGACATCTTTGTCTCGAGTCACAGGGCCACATGAGTCATTATCAAAGATGACATTCCTGGAAATCTGGTGTCACCTGAAGAACAAACATTGGGATACAGGATGGGGACTCATTTAACTCAGTGAAAAGGCTGGGGTCTCAATAGGAGAGAGTAGCCTGTCTACACACACACACACACACACACACACACACACTCATGCACTAGTTAATCCAGTGCAATTGGATGGGAAGAGACACTGAGGCTGAATGGAAGTCTCTGAGACCCCACTATACCTTCCCTCACCTTTCAGGGCACCACTAGGTACAGTGCAAGGAGTCTTGAGACCTAGATTCTAGTCCAGACACCACCACTAATTAGTTATATTACTCTGGGTAAGTCACATCACTTCTCTGGGACTCAGTTTCCTAATCTGTAAAAATTACACTTAGCAAACTAGTAATGTTCAATAAATGTTTAAATAACTGAATTGAATGAGTTAGTCTGGGTGCCTTTTAAGGTACAGTGGATTAAGAATTCTAAGATTAAAGAACCCTTAGGCAGAGAAGTGACGTAAGGCCTGGAGGGTATCAATGGGGGCAGGCATATGCAGGGACTCTGGACACACAGGCTCCCCTTGACTGCTCTTGTACCCACCACCCAGGCAGGGCTGTGTTCCGGAGTTTCTATTGTGCTGCTGTCAAAAAAAATAATAATAATAATAGTGAAAATGGGAAGGAAAAAGGCTGAGGGTCCAGGGCCAGAGGGAAGAGTCATGTCCAAGATCAGCGGGCCCAGCAGAATGAGAGGGCAGTGGTGCCAGGAACTCAGAATGGGCACTGGCCCCAGAAAGCCTGTGCCTTGCAACCTGGGAACAGCTGGGAGAGGGCACCCCCCACCCCCCTCTGAGCAGGAGGTCCAGTAAGAATTGGGACCCAGGGACCCAGGTGTCCCTTCCTGGGTGGGTGGCAATGCCCACAGAGGCCTGATGGTGTTTATGGTGGAAAGAGAGGCCTGGTTCATCCAGAATGGGTTATCAATCCCCCAAAACTCCCTACCACACCCTCAAGCCTCATACAGCCTGATGTCAGGGAAATCACAGCCACCCTGGGTTTTATAAAACAAGTTTATTCACATTTTAGAAAAATTTAGGAGAGGGAAGGCCTCCCTACAGGCTGGGTATGAGATTGAGATCATAAAGCCAGAGGGAGGAGTCAGGAAGGAAAGAGTGGGGAATGGAAGCCATACCCCCCACTACATGGGGATAGGTCAAATAAATTAAAGGAAGGGCAGACAGAGGACAAGGTATCCACACAACCAGAGTTGGGCTTGGAGCTGGGCTGGAAGATAGTCAACACCTGTGAGAAATGGAAAGAAAGCATTGAGTGGGCTAAGGAGAGCCCGGGGTGGTGCTTCCTCCCAGCTCTCACCTGGTGAGCAGGGTCTTGCAGAGAACTATGACTTAGCTCCTTCTCCAGGTGGGGCCAGGGAGCAAGCAGCTCATCTCAGGGCTTGAGAAGGCAAGGCTAGGGGTTCTTTTCTCTTACCTGGATTGGGGCAAAGGATCACTGTTTTCGCAGCCTCTTCATGAAGCAGCAAGTGATGGTGCTAAGGATGGTGGCACCTGTGACTAGGGCAACCCCTGCACCCACCAGCAGGGGCACGAACAGAGTGTCCAGGGCTGGGTGAGAGAGAAAGGCTGTGTTCAGCATTGGGTGCCATTGCCCTTCACATACTGTTGCACTGAAGTCCCAGCACCTTCTCTATCAACCTGTGCCCACCTCCTTCTCAGTCACAGACAGCCCTCCCAGCCCACTCCCTGCCCTCTCTGCATTCAAGGAAACCTCCACCACCAAATACCCTGGAGAAGATGGGCACTGGAGGGCTGAAAGCTGTATTTATAAGACACTTCATGTGAAGAGATGTGGCGAGGAACAGGAGACAGTAGAAGAAGGATTAGAATGGAAGAACAAGAGTGTGGTGCTGGAGGAAGGTGGTGAGTGAGGAGGGGAGAGTGGGAGTCACTCACCATGCATGTAGGGGTAGACTGTGACAGGCCCTGAACGGGCACTGCCCACTTGGTACCAGCTGTAGTCAGTGTGTTGTACCCAGGCACTGGGGGCACAGTGGTATACACCTTCGTCCTTGGGCCCCAAGCTGTGTAGTCTCAGCCGATGGCTTCGGGGTCCCACCAACTCCACACTGACAGGGCCTCCTCCAGGCCTGACCCCCAGTTTTGCCACACCATCCTGATCCATGCCACCAACAAGCCGGGCGGAGGAGGAACTCAGCTCCCCATCCTCAGGTCGCTCTACCCACCAGTTGGTGGCCAGCCGCAGCCCTCGGGGGCCACCCTGCACAGAGATGTTGCAGAGCAGGGAAGCAGTCTCCCCACGGTATACTGTACCTCCTGCTAGCCATGCCAGAGCCTCCAGCACCACACCTGTACAACAAAGACCATGAGATCAGAGGGCAAAAGGTCAGGGGTAGGGAGCATCTGGTCAGGACCACTGTCCAAGCAATATCCCAGGAAATTCAAGGTGTCCCCACAATCTTAGGAATGTGAGACTAAAGCATGGAGGCAACTGATATAGAGAAAGAGGCATAGTGACAAAAGAGTTCTACAAGCCCAATCCACCTCTCTTACCTTCCTCCCGCACATGCACGGCGAGGGGCCGGGAGCGGGCACTGGCTGCTTCACGAAGCCGGGCCCCAGACCCTCGGACATAAGCCTTGGCAAGGCAGCGGTATGTGCCTGCATCACCAGGCTGGGCAGCCTCCAGCCGTAGCCGGTAGGTTCTGGATGCCACCTTCTCCATGGCAATGTGTCGGCCCTCATAGCCTGGGCCCAGGCTGCCCACACCCTCTGTGTCCAATTGGGCTACCAGGAGGCCAGGCCCAGGTGCCCCTGCAGGTGCCATCTCCCAGCCCACAGAGTATGCAGCATGATGGCCTGATGGGGGCAGTGTCCCTGACACATTGCACAGCAGTTCCAAGGGTTCCCCTGGGCCAATCCGACGTTCACCAGGTCCCACTGCCACTGCTAGCTGGCTGGCTGAAACGTAGGAAGGGAAAGAAGTGTCACAAAGGTAGGAGGAAGCACAGACTGCCTGACTCCCCATCTGTAGTCCTTTGATGGCAGCAACTTCAAGGCCAATCATCTGACCCTCACAGGGTATGACCATCTCCCTTACCCAGAGGTCTGACTCACCCCTTCCATATGGCCCTTCTATCTCCACACCCAATTCTAAGCACAGAAAACCCCTCATGGGTATAGAGAGAAATGATGTTCACAGGACTGCTTACTCTCAGGAAGGTGAGCTCCCTAGTCAGACAATGACCATCTAATTAATGACCATCTGTGTCCATGGTGCCCTCTGAGATATTGGCTCCCAGCTCCTGTACTCACACAGGGTCTGCACATCCACATGGGCCAGGACAGCCCTCTTCTCGGCTATTTGGGACCAGGTGCCATCAGGATCCTGAATCCATTCAGCAGCAGTACAGTGGTAGGTCCCAGCATCCTCTGCCTGGGCACCCCCCACCACCATGTGGTACCTCTCAGCCCCCTCCTTGCCAAGTCGTAGCTCCCCAGCGGCTAGCCGCTCAGCATAGGAAGTACCAGCCTCCACGGCCAGGTCAGGCCGAAGTCCCACCACTTCCTGTAGAGTCACTCGTCCCACAGGTGCCTCAGGAACAGCTCGTCCAAAGGACACAGCCAGATGCGTGTGCTTCTGCGTGCTTGTCCGAGCCATGCAGCCCAGTGCCAGCTCCTGCCCCTCATACACCGTCAGGCGAGGGGGAGAAGTCTGGGCCTGGCGGCCTCGGGGCCCTGAGGAAGTTGCAGATACCTGCAGCACATCTGGAAGAACTGAAGAGAACAGCTGGAGTGAAGAAGGGCTGGGAGCTGGCAGCCCTCATTATTATCTCCTATATACAATCTATTTCCCTGAATAGACTGTGAGCTCCTATAGGGTAAAGATTTCATAGTGTATTATTTTTTCTGTAACCCAGTGGTGTCAACCACAGTGCTGGGTACAAAACAAGCATTCAGTAAATAGTTACTGCATATCAGAACCAGCCCATTGCCTACTCACCCTTGTTTGGCACTGACCCCTGTTTGAAAGAATCAGAAAAGTGGCTCTGTCTTCCTTCTCAAAAGACAAAGAAACTTAAGAGAACAAAACTGTCACATGGTCTTACTCCTCCTACCCCAACTCTGCTTTCTCCTCTCCTCACCCAGACCTGGATCCTAGAATCTCCAGTAATGGAGTTGATTCACCCTGTCAGGGAATGAAGAAGGGATCAGACAGTTTAAGAATGCTTCCCCTTTCCTAGGAAGAAAATTCAATGGCATAAGAAGATTATAAGACTAGAAGGAGTGAAAGTCCCAGACAAGCCACTAACTTTGTTGGGTAACTATGTGCAAGTCACGTAACATCTTTGGGCCTCAGGTTCCTCATCTGCAAAACCTAAGAGGGTGTTAGATAGGTCCTGCAGGACCTGAATTTCTGCCCTTTTCGGAGAGCTGACCCCACTCCTTCCGGGGGCCCAGTACCTCTCAGTTCCACTTTGCTGCTGTAGCTGCCCAGGTAGCGAGCGTCAGTGGAGGGTGTGTAGCACTCATAAATGCCAGCATCCTGGGCCTGCAGGCGGGCGATCTTGAGCATCACAGCATCACCACGCAGACGCTGCACCTGCACCTCACCAGCTGCCACACGGGGCCCAAAGACGGCATAGGAGAATCGGGTATCCCTGGTACTAACAATGCCAAGTGCAGCCTCTGGGGCCTCAGGCCTGTACAGGAACCACTCAAAGTCCTGCTGGGCAGGGCCTTCGTAGCCAGTAACATTGCAGGAGATAGAGATGGCTGTGCCAGCCACACGGTACAGCGGCCCCTCTGGGACCAGCACCTCCCGGGCAAAGCACCGAGCTCCTGTAGATGAGAAGAAGAAAAGTTGGGAATGCCTGGATCCCCAATGAACCCTCCCACTATCAGCACCATTCTTGACACTTACCCCTAAAAGAAAAGGAAACCTGGGGGAAGTTGGTAAGCCACTTGGGCCATGTTCTAAAAATTGGGGAAAAAATGCTGGGAGGTTAGACACCTGGGACTCAGGGGCTGATAGAGCCAGGTTTGCCTCAGAACCCAGAAATATCCCATTTCTGGCAGAGCAGAAGTGGAGTGCCTATGGGCAGAGAGAACATCTGCTTTCTTTTTTAACCATTTCCTGATTCCAGCTGTACCATGATTCCCTCCCCCAACCCCCTAGTCTCATGTCTGTGGTTCCCGCTCTGGCCTGGACAGCAGAGCCTTCTAGGTAAGAGATTCTGAAACCATGTGTCCTTCTCCTTTGTTTGAGAGGAGCTGGCAAATTCTTGTTCAAAAGGGCTGGTTGGCTCAGCTGTGTCACCTGGGCCAGGGGACTCCAGACAATGGAGCAGTTGCCCAGACTGGACAGGGCACAGACCCAGTCATTTCTCACCATACAATACCCTCCCCCGCTCCAGCTGTGCCATGAGCTCACTGCTTCTCCAACTCCACAGGGCTGCGGAGACAGCTGAGCCTTACCGGGCAAAAGCCAGCCTCCCCCCTCAAGTGCCTGCCAATCTTCCAGGCTGGCCCAGCTGAGGCACAACCCCCCCCCCAAGTCCCTAACAAAACCTTCATTTGCATATGAATGCATTCTTTTTATATACAGCTCCCTTTCCACAGGGAGACAGGAAATCCCCAGATGCCCCTTCCCACTTTTCTCATAACTCTCTTCTTCACCCTACCCCCAACCCCAGCCCCCACACTATCCTAGCTGATACTCTGGAGGTTTGGAGAGCTCAGCTTTCTCCTTCCATTCTAGCCCCACTAGATAAGGTCATGGAAACTCAGAATGTGAGGAGGGCTAGGGCAGACCCTTGCCTCCATTTTACAGATGAGAAAGGTAAGGCAAAAGATACAACTGTCCTTGAATGGCAGTTGTATCCCTGTAGAGAAAATGGGGAACTCCGAGGCAAGCAAGGCCTAAAGGGCAAACCTCACCAACCAGAATGTCACTCCCAGGGGCATCCCGAGTTTTGTCCACAATGGCTGAAGGAAAATGGAAACGCTGAGTCTGTGGTCAAACACTGTTCTGCAGCTCTTCCCAAAGTACTCCCCCTTGACTCTCCTATCTGAGCAGGCAGGCTCATTGCTCTTCTTCCTATGGCTGAGTCACCTGGAGAACTTGTGGTAGCCCAGTCAGAGGGCAGACTGGAGTCACCCCCATTTCTGTCCCCAGCTATATGGTCTGGACCTGTGCCTTAACCTCCCAGGCCTCAATTTCCACACTAAGAAGAGCTAACAGCTTCTCCTTTGACAGTGTGACTCAGGAAAACCCTGCCTGAGGTCACTTTATTATCAGGGTGCTGACAAAGGTGGCTGAGCTGACACCTTCCCTGGTCTCTACCTCCCCAGGCCTCCAAGCACAGGCTGCTCAGAAGGGCCTTTTCCCACCTTCTTGGCTTCAAAACTGTTTGGAGATCCCCATGGGAAAGTCACCCCCACCCCCTCCTTAGGAAACCAGCTTGGCTGGCAACTCTTACCGGTGAGGTCCCATCCGCTGTATTAGTAGTGAGGGAAGGGAGAGCAAAGGGACCTGCTTTGCAGCAAGACAGATGTGGGTTCAAATCATAGACCCAGCACTCACTAGATGTGTTCTCTGGTCATGTTACTCCATTTTTCTCATCTTCAAAATGACTATAAGTGCAGGCAGGCTATTTCATCTCTGTGCTTCACACTTCTCCACCTCCCCTGGGCTCCTCACTATTCTACCCACTGGGGAAAATGGGCTAAGTGCTAGGCAACAGGGCTCTGTGACATCCTCCTGCCTCCCACCCAGGGCCCCAAGGAGAGGGCTCATGCTACTCCCACAGGGCCCAGGAACTATGTAGCACAGGGAGACTGCTTGATGCCTCTGGGGAGCTCTGGTCCAGAAAAGGCGGCTGGGGCTAAATCAGTCTGCGCCTGGACTATGGCAGCTCTGAATCCTGGCAGCAAGATACCCCTTTGCCTTACCCCCCACACACTGCTCTTATGTCAAGGGCTTCAGTCTCCCAAACATCTCTGTACAGGCAGTCTCACTGTATTGATGCCATACTCCTCCCCCAGACAATCTTCAGGGAACCTTTCAGTTCCTGCCAAAAACAATCTCAATGTCATTGCCCTTATGCATCCATGCAGCATCCATGCAGCATCCATGCAGCATCCATGCAGCAGTGGCCCAGAACACCCCACCATGAACACCAACTATGACAAAAACAAGGTGCTTGGAGATCCCAGCATCAGTCTCCATGGAGCCCGGTTTCTCCCCAGGCAGGAAAGCTGAGACTGAGTGGGTGTGACCAGCAGTGGAAGACTAGAGAACCCAGTGCCACCTGGGTGTGGGGAAGTGGGGCAAAGAGGGACCATGGCAAGGTCGGAGATTGGGGTGAGAGAGGGAACTGTGCCCAACCTCAAAAGATGAAGTGTGCAACTTCAGAGGATAAAGTGTGCGTGCACTTGGAGTTGGAGGCAATTAGGGGAGACTTACTTCAAAGATTGTGGGCAGAACCGACCCCTGGGCCTGCAGCCAACTTGGGGCAATTATGAAGACCGGCAGGCACTGCCCACGCAGGCTGGGCCTGAAGCAGAATGTGAGGCAGAGAACATTTGGGCGCAGCGAACCTAGGATCTGAGTATGCCGACTGAGAAATAGAACCTGGCCTCCTGAGACCTGGCAGTCCCCGGGGCAGCACCTCGGTGGGTCCTCATTGCGCTCCAGCCTGGGCCTAGCGCTGGGGATACTTCACCCTACCCTAGTCTGCCCGGGTGGTCTCATGGCGCCTCTGACGAAAAGTGGGATGAGAGGGGCTCCGAAATGCTGGGAAGGCTGGGCTCCAGGTGGTAGGCACCTGCCGAGCGGAGCGAAGGGCTAAAGACAGGGACTGGGCTTACCCAGCATTAGCAGCAGCAGCAGCGGCGGCGGCATGGGACCGAGGCCGCCCATCCTGCGCAGCTGGCTCTGGGGAGACTCCGGGGGTAGCGCGAGCTCTGGATGGCCAGAGGTTCCAGGGGGCGCATGCCCGGGTAGGGGGCGTACAGCGGAGCCGCGAAGCGTGGGTGCTCGGAGAGGTGCTCAACGGAGAGAGAGCTGCCAAGTCCCCTCCTTTCCCGCTTCCTCCTCTTCCCTCCTCCCACTTCTTTCCCTCCCTCTTCCGAGACTCAGGAAATCATTCCCGCCCTGCCCTGCCGGGGCTCCGCCCTCTCGCCCCAGCCCTAGGCTGACCGCCACCCCAGCAAGCTGCAGGCTCCGCCCAGGTCTGGCCAGATCCTCAATCCGCCTGGACCCTTCCGGACCCGGGCCCCAGCCGAAGCCCCAGTTTTCCCTCTGCCCTGTTTCGGGCTCCGCACGGACTACGGCTCCAGACGCAACTCAGCCCTTGCGCAGAGCTTGACGGAGGCCTGCAAAGTGAACCTTTACCCTGGCTCCGCCCTGATCCGGAACATGGTCCCGCCCACTTTACTCCGGGCCCGCCCAGGCCCCGCCCCTAACCGGGTCGTGGACCTGGGCCCGACTCCTCCTTGATCCCAGCCAGATCCCGCCCACTTCAGCAAGGCCTCCCGCCCCTCCCAGCTGCGCTGGAATCTGGGCGGGAGCTCCAACCCCATTCTAGTTGGTGGCCCCAGGACTCAGCCAAATCTGCACCCACCGCCTCGTTGTGCACTCCCACTCCGTACCTACCAACCTTTCCGCTGAGAGTTGGGTGTAGGGGCCCTGGATTGGAGAGTGTGTACAAGCACTTAGAATTTGGTTATTTGCTCTGGGCTGGTAGGCCTTGCTGCAAACCCCTCTGAAGTGGGCGTGGGCAAGCCTCAGGAGTTCCTGAGGCAAAGAATGGGCTGCAGAGCTCTGGAGACCTGTTTGCCAACCCCTCGGGGCAGAACCAGAGGAAGCGCAATAGGAGGGTGGGTCCGCTGGGAGCCCTCAATTCCTGATGACCCTTGGTCTGGTTGCTTAAACTCCTTCTACTCGTTTTCTTGTTGGCAAGTTGACATCCACCCCAAACTGTTTTTGTGATGATTAATTGAAATAACATACATAAGGTGCTTGGCACACCATAACACAAAATAAGATGGAGATTATATATATATATAATCACCTCAGAGAGCTAGCTTTTTCCAGGAAAATCAGCAAACCCAAGACAGCAGGACCTCCAGACCTGACTAATAATTACACGGAGCTGACTAATGGTCACAAGCTCCGGACCTCTGGCAGGCTAAAGATAACATCTTGACCTATGTTATGTTTCTGATCCTGAGGTGGACCCCTGGGTACTTTCCCATGAAACTAGACAGAGGGACACTGGGACAGACCTCAGAAGTGTTCTTAAAACCTGAAGAGATGATTTATAACCTTTACTTCATCTCCAACCAATCAGCTCCCAGCACAACCCAGAACCCCTAAACCGTGGTGGCTTGTGATTTTGCCATATATAATCTGAAACCTACATACAATCAGGGAGTTTGGGCTTTTGAACATTTGCTTCCAGTTCTCCTGGGTGACACCATTCATGATAAGAAATAGCCAATATTTCTCCACTGCAATTCTCAGTGTTTAATGTTTGGCCTTGCTAGCACCAGGTGGACAAACTCCTTCTGTTCTGTAACATCATAGATGCCATTTATGGGAGTCCTATACCATAAGGCTCTTTTGGATATGTTTATGTAAGAAATATCCAAACTTGTAGAAAATTTTTTATAAGTTTATTGGAGCCAAACTGACAACAATTGCCAGAAAGCAAAATCTCAGTGGATTGAGAAAGTACTCCAGAGAATGGCAATTTTGTAGCTTGTGTATACATTAGAATAAGTGGAGGAGACATAAACAGGGTTACATGAAATCCTTTTGTGAGGGATTAAGGAGGCAGGAGAAGGAAGACCCAGGAACTCTCTGGGAATTAATAAAAAGGCAAATCAGAGAAATGCATACTTCTTTTACATTGGTGGGCACAAAATAATTAATAATTAACATTTACAGCACACAGAGATGGTATGTGGGGAACAAGGTAACAATGAGGAGGGCCCTGGCTGGACAGCTCAGTTGGTTAGAGTGTCCTCCAGATTACCCCAAGGTTGCAGGGTCGATCCCCAGTCAGGGCACATACAAGAATCAACCAATAAATGCGTAAGTGGAAAAACAGATCAGTGTTTCTCCGTTTCCCCTTCTCTATCTCTAAAATCAATTAAAAAAAAAAAAGAAGTCAATGAGGATTCTGTGGTCCGCTGCTCTGGCCCTGGGGGTTGTGCCTTAAGGAGTCTAGAAAAAAGGAATACTCTGACATTTCAAAGGTATGTTATCTTAGATGCAAAACAACAATACACAGGATCTCAAAGTAAAGATTGACCTTTGACAAGGAAACTGCAGGCCTAGGAAGGGACTACCCACTATGACTTACTTTCGGCTAGAAGAATTTTTATGTTCAGATCATCCTGTGTGGTCCCTGCTTTTGTAAGGTCAGCATGGCTGACCTTACACTGAGCTTATCAGGTTTAGTATGTGTCCCCTGGTTTTCTACCACAATTATGATGTAATTGACAGATAAGAAGTCTAAGGTTCATAGGGATTAAGCATCTTGCTCAAGACCACACAGCTTTTAAGTGGCCAAGGTATGTTACCAAGGCCCCATTTTTCCCACACCCTATTGTCTCTCTTTCCAAGCCTCTCCAGCCTATAAACTCATTCACTCAACAATTACTGATCATGGAAGGGAGGTGGGGAGCACTGGGGGGTGCTGAGATGGGAGTAAAAGACAGAACACTGTACTTGAACAACAATTAAAATAAATTTAAAAAAAAATTACTGACCGGGCCAGTCTTCATGCTGGCCCCTGGAAATCTGTAGTAAACAAGTCCAGAGTGGTTCCTGCTCAAGTAACATGCAGTTGTATCAGGAAGACAAACCACTAGTAAGTAATAACCAACCCCCCAGTATAGGTGTTAGAAGAGAGGACCTCTGGCAGGCTCAAGAAACTGGGGCAAGTAGATACTGGACTACTTGATATATTTGTCACCCTGTAAGGTGCTGTCTGTCAATAGCTGGGTGTGTATTTATGTGTGTTGGGTCCAAGTAGCAGGACTATTGTCTCCAGTGGAGATAAATTAGCCACACACCCACCCCAAAACTCAACGTTTTCCTCCCCAGACTGACTTTCAGAGGCCACCAGCAGGGGGAGCCCATGGTTCAGGCCTGACTCACCTCAGATGCTTACATAACTTGGAAAACTGGGGGGAGGAGAGTAAGCACCAGGCACGAGGCTTGTCACACATACAGACACACTTGTACTAGTGATAACACCAAGGAGCTTCATACAGAAAAACGCTGCAGACACAGAGCAATGCACAGACACACACAACACACACACATGCTGCCAAGGAGGGAGATGTGCGGTAGACTGCAGACTACTCCTGAACCATCCCCGTCTGGCCCATTAAAAAAAACTCACAGGCTTACCCAGCACCTTGGCTGATACCTGTGGTGGTGTAAGTAAAAAAAAAGAGGAAGGCAGACTTTACATGAGCCTCAGGCCAGCCATGAGGGAGACATGAGGGAGGGAAGAAGCCTGCCATTTCAGAGACATGTAAGAGGTTCATAGTGACCATGGAGCCTACCATCACTGTCATCACCCACTTCCTACTGGCTCTCCACATACCACCAGGTATGGGCATACATCAGTCTCCCAGTCAATGTTTCACATGATTATGTAATAACATCCCCTCTAGACGACATATGTCCAGGTACCAAGTTGGCACTGAAGTGTCCTGAGTATCTTTAAAGATAATTAAGACCCACCCTCTGCTCTAAACGAGTTTATTATCTGGCTGAGATGTCACAACCATGAGACACGATTCTCAGAGAGGCACATCCAAAGACAGACCCATCAACATATTCTGACCTGTGCCAGGGGAATGACATGATCTCATTTAATCTTCACCAGAACCCTCTGAGGTCAGTACTATTATTACTCATGGGAGGAAACTGAGGCATAGAGAAGTTTAGGAATTTGTGAACCTGGGATTGTCTGAATGTGGAGGATCCTGTGTTTCTATCATGTTACATGGCTACTTAAAGGTAGACATGGACCCAACACACATAAATGCACACCCAGCTATTGACACACAGCACCTTACAGGGTGACAAATACATCAAAGAAACAAGCACACATAAGGTTAAAAAAAGATAGGGGGAAAAATGATCTACAATCATGCTATCAGATCATTGATCAAGAAGTACTAGCCCATGCCCTGGCCAGGTAGCCCACAGTGGGTTAGAGTGCTGTCCTACCATGCCAAGGTTGCAGGTTTGATCCCTGGTCAGTGCACATACAATAAGCAACCAGTGAATGCATAAATAAGTGGAACGGCAAGTGGATGCTTCTCTCTCCCCACTCCCTTTCTCTCTAAAATCAATAAAAAAGAAGTACTAGCCCAAGATTTTTTAAAAAGAAGAAACAAACACACATACCCACCTGACATTAGACATAGAAATGCCGCAAACAGCTCTCTTTCTTTCATTTATCGTTTAATCCTCACCTGAGGATATGCTCATTGATTTTAGAGGGAGATGAAGGAAGAGAGAGAAGGAGGAACATCAGTGTGAAAGAAAACTGTCAATTTGTCGCCTCCTGTATGTGCTCCAACTGGGGATTAGACCCGCAACCTAGGTATTTGGCCTGACTGGGAATCAAGCCTCCGGCCTTTTGGTGTACAGGATGATGCTGCAAGCAAACGAGCCACCTAGCCAGAGCAGCTCTCCCTCTTTTAAATGTGGGTAAATCCCAGCTTGGTGGGAGCTAAGGATTACACATGCAAGAATGTCCTGTGATTTGTTAGTGTTCATAAAGCCTTGACCCATACTGCCATGATGAGCTATATTTTCCCACCCTCCCAAAAGGGAACATTCTCTCTGCTGACTTGTTGAGAGGATCAAGTGAAGACATAAGGCAGAGGTAGAACAAAAACCTGCCTTTCCCTTGACAACTAACTCATGCAGTGATACATTGAAACAGCTGCATACTCAGGCACCCAGGCACACACTAAGATAAACACACAGAGGTCACGCCTGCCCAAACACACTCAGAGAACTACAGAGCCATC